GAGAAAGCCTGCTGTGCTGAATGAGACTGTTGGTTCCTCTGCAAGCAAATGTCATTTTCAAGAACTCCAACCTACCGCACTGTATGAACTTTCATTCAGGAAAATGCATTTGTCAGATGCCCCTGTGTGCAAATGTCTGCACAATAGGTGTTCCAGAAGGACTTGTTTTTTGGGCTAGTTGGTGCATACTTGGTGCAGAAGACTGAGGTGCAAAAAACATAGCGTGAAACAGGAAGAGCAGGAGAGAAGACAGAACAGCGCCAACTACCAACTGTTTAATGACCATCTAGGAAACGCACTGGAAAGAAGACAAAACCGCGCATGCGTGCACAGCCAACAAATATCGCACAGCGTCATGAACAAGGCACTAAGTTATCCAAAAAATGCATTTCTGTTGCGTACAACACAATAGATGTATCACTGATACAATCGGGCCCTTTCTTTTTGATAAAATAGGCTTCCAAGAGCTCTCTAGCAGTTTGTTTTTTGCTCCTACCAAGAATCACCGTCCTTTCAAACAATGGCACACATCCGCAGGCTTTACAGTGGGCTGGAAGATGCGCATGCTCACTTTTGCGTAAACTATTGGCATGCTCCCTCAGTCTGTCATTAATGCAACGGCTTGTTTGACGGATATAGAACTTGCCACAGCCTAGGGGAGTCCCATATACCACGCCTTGTGCACAGTGCCTAAAAAGTCTTGTGTGTTGCTTCTGGCAGCCCCTTTGCTCATCACATGTGATACGTGGGCACAATTGAGCAAGTTTGTTGGGAGCTGAAAAAACAACCGGAACACCATAACGGGAAGCCACCTTCTTGAGGTTATGGCTCACACGGTGTATATACGGGACCCCCTCAGGCTTAACCCGCTCTCTCTTTCTTTTTCGGGCCCTTTCTTTCAAGCCCTTTCTTTTTTATCAAAAAGAAAGGGCCCGATTGTATAGGTGATACATCTATTGTGTCGTACGCAACAGAAATGCATTTTTTGGATAACTTAGTGCCTTGCTCATGATGCTGTGCGATGTTTGTTGGCTGTGCATGCATCATGAACAAGGCACTAACGAATGTTATGTTTTTTGCGCCTCAGTCTTCTGCAACAATATTGTCTACTTGGAAACTGTCTGTAAATTGTAGACACTATGTTGTCAGCTGGTGAGGGAGCTGCCATTGTCCCAAACTGAAATTCTTCCAAGTTACTGGAGTGTGAACAATGTGAGTACCTGTATTCAACGGCCTTCATTATTTCTAGTGTTGACTAGGCATTGCAACAGTACTTCAGAAATGAACTGTAAGCTGCCCACACACATATGGAAATAAACTATATATGAAAGTATGATGTCTGATCTTTATTTTTTGTGCATTGAAAAACCTCTTGTAGAATGCACATTGTTAATTAAATAGTTTTCCTTTATAGAAAACATGTAAAAGATCATTCCTTCCTTGCATTTCTAGCAGTGATGTTCTTCCAACTAGTGATAGTGTACCTCCTTGTTTAGTTATGTCTTTGAGTACTGAACATGAATAGCAAGTAGTATCAGGTGTTGTAATAAATAATTGTGAAAGGTGAAAAAAGGGTCTCTTATAAGCGGTTATTCCTCACAAATGGCGAACATTAATGTGCAACCACTGTTTTTGTTTCTTTAATGGGAGACTTAAAGGGGTGGTGCCACCAAATTTGTGGCATGCGTGTTCTTTGCTGTAAGCGTTTTCTTCAGCTCCAGGAAGCATGGTACACACACCAAGATTCATGTATTTTCGCTAATTCAATATTGCTCTACTTATGTGGATCATTTTCGATTTCGGTATCGCTGTGCCGAATTGGGCAGTGACTCGATGAAAAGGTGGCTTGGTCATGTGAGCACACAATGCTGTGACGCACATTGTGTTGAGTTTCGTCTGCTCTCATACACTCTTGCCACACCAAGCGCCAGCAAAACAAGCGCGCTGAGGGTCGTCATGGCCAGCTGCAGTAGCATCAAGGCAATGGCAAGGCAAAATGCAGCTAGAAGGAAACAAGGTGTTGATATTTACAACGCATATGTACAGAACGTGGAGGAGGAAGCCGCCCGACTCTCGATGCATGTGCCTTTTATAGGCTCCGAGATGCTGATGCAGGATGACACAGCCCCGCTGTTGGGCGCGAGTGTCTTTTCGGAAACACCCACAGTCCTTGACGGACACACACAGTGTCTCTGCAAGAGACGCCAGCACACTCGTAACAGCAGGCATGCTAGTTCTCTCCTTGTTCACAAAATGCGTTTCGGAGATGGCGGAGGTCAATCACCTAGATCGCAAGAGTGAGCATTCAGTTACACTTTTAGAAGTTAATCAAAATACATTCTACGCATTTGTTGTGTCCGACTCTTCGTGTGGAGAGCCCTTGCATTTAGAGCAAACCCACAACAGGCTTGGGATAGCCGCTAAATTTGGTGTCACCCCCCGTTTAAGTAAATAAATGCCCAATGTGCTACCGGGTAGCACATTGGGTATATAAATATGTGCAAAATTGTAAATAAGGCCCACACGTAAGCTCTTCACATTGCTGGCTTTGCGTAATCAAGCGCAACACCTGGTGTCATGTTGGAAAAGTATAATAATGGGAGCCTCAGTACAAATTTCTCAGTAATATCAGAAACAGTTTTGGAGACGCACGTCATCTTGGAGTTTTGCTTGCATTGCATTCTGAGCGAAGCCTGTTCAGCTCACCTAAAAATACGAAGTAGAATAAGCAGACGAATGCAAGGCAAAATGCCATTTCATGGGGAGAGTATAGCTGCGAATATTTTTGATCAGCATAAACACTGCTTGAGTTTTGTTTTTGGGCACCAAACCATGTGTGTAAGCATGAATATAAAAAAAAACTTACGAAAAAGTTGCTTGTATTATTTGTTAGCCAATGCTCGATATTTTTTTTGCTGTTGTTGTGGGGGGGGGGGGGGGGGCATTGAAAGTGGCCAATGTGACCTATCTTTAAGACATTCGGGGAACAGCGCTAAATGAAATGCAGGTATGAAGGCACATTGTAAGCACAACAGGCCATTCTTTCCTAAACATGTGACCACAAATGAACTTGCCCATATCAAAATTCTGAAATAAAGAGAATTTACTTACATATTCTCTCGCATCACGTCATCTAAATGCCCATAACTTATACTGTGCACCAGAAATGTCATGAAGTGTACTATCGGCATCAAATGAAACGCGAACAGCGGAGCGCGTGGCACAAGCCTTATCAATGGCATAGGGCATGCTGTCCACCAGTCATTGGCACAGACAGGCCCGCACATCTGGTGTGGCAGCACTGCGCGATCCCCCTATAGTGCACTATTTCTGCTTGTGTTCCAGGTATGGTATTTGAAAGGAAGAAAGTTTTTAAAAAGTACAGAGGTTAAACTACTGCAGCCGAAGGCGAGTATTGTAGCACGGTTTGTCATCACGGAGTCAGTCATCATGGAATGCCTGGAAAATTCTAATTATAGTAGACAAATGTCAGTTCATAATGCTGGCAATTTCACGCTGCTTCACTTCGGGCCGGTAAAGTGAAACAATTAGCGCGCGCTTTACCGAAGAAACACTTGGCATTTCCAGTCAAAATGAAGCCTTTTCGGGTCGTTCTCTGAAAGAAGGGTGTAGGTGAAGCAGCGCTGGCGAACGAGATACAACAATCGTTGAAAAAATCAACCGCAGACCGATTATATTTTTCTTTTTGTTTTATCGTGCCAAGACACCGATTGCGCTGCGACGCTGCAGTAAAAGCAAGGAATTGTGAGTGATACGATCAAAAACGCTCGGCACGCCCACGATTTCCATCATTGTCTCCATACGAAAAGTAGAGGAGAAACGGAGATAACGCACTCTAGGTGATGGATCGCGCAGTGCTGCCAAACCGCATGTTCACACCTGTCAATGGTGATGGCGGGATGGCGAACACTATACTGTTTCTAATGCTTAAAACACGCGCTCCGCTGTTCGGGTTTCATTTGACGCCGATAGTACATGTGTATCTACGCTAAAACCTGAGGTAGCCCCCCCCCCCCCCCCCCCGCCCTTTTTTTTTTTTTTTCATGGTGAAAGATGACAAGATTTGAATAGGGCGGTTCGCAGATCGCGAGTCTTCCCCCCCCCCCCTCCCCACACACACACACACAATGCACTGCGCCAGGCGCTTTTACGAGGCTCTCAAAAGCTGCGCGCTCTTTAGTTTGTGCATGATTTCGTCAGATAACATAGCGGCGCCTACGAAGATGCTGCAGGTACACTTTATACACTCAACTGCAGGTATAGCATGACGGAAGGAATAAACTTAGGAGAGGCCATTGCGTCAAATTTTGTGAAGCCAAAAGTAGGGAAGAGTACCGCGGCTCGCGCATGCGCAACGGGGGCCAGCGAGAGGGAGGAGAGCCGCGCGGGCCGATTTCGGACGCGCCAGGCGGCACTGCCACGGCCATATGATAGACGAGCTGGAAAAGCGAAACTTTTGTGCTGATTATGAGCACACGTGCTACGACACTCGCTTGTATAGCGCCTGTGTGCCATTCGCAGCCTCATTACGGTTCATATGTGAATCTCCAATACACTTGCAGGTTTGCACTTCGTGTTTAATCCGCTGAATGCAAGACAGCAACGGCGCGAATCGGTCGGATAATCGCCACGACAGGCTGCTTTTTTTTTTTTTTTCTGCAGATAGGGTAAGTTTGCGGTACGGAACATAATGTAATTGTGAAATTTTATTTAATTTGTCTTGCTATTTAGCCAGATAAAGCACCCCCGTATCATTCTTTGCCACTTGTGTCATGATACGTGCGCACGAGTATCGCTCGCTGCAGCGCGGATCGTGTGTTTGACAACCGTATGCTGGAGAACGCGCGAGAGAAGAGAGACGCCCATGTCGTCTGCTACGGCGCTCATTGGAAGCGGCTACCACAAACGTCATTTCCGCGTTCAGTTAGAAGTTTTGCTTTTTTTTTTTTTTTTTTGTGGTTGCCGCTTCAGCAGCCAAGGCCACCGCGGACTCGCCAGTAGCGCCGGTACTGAGGGCAGCTGTGTGTGTGGTGTGTTTTGCGAATCAGATTGCTTTTGGGTTGCTTCCGAACTACTGATACCGTAAGTAAACAGTCTCGGGCAAATTGCGTTGACGGACTGCACATAAGACGTATTTGTTTGGCGCAGTGTCGCTAGCATCAAGGCCAACTTTTTACCGTAGATCCCGCGGCATGTTGGTCACGCCTCGTAAACGCATGTCAAGCTTTAACCCGGTTGGCTTATTACGTTGTTGCAGGTACGGCCCGTACGTCAGCGTTCATGTTTTCAGCAATGTTGAGGCTACCGACGGTATTGCTTACACGATCGATACATATCGTTAGTAATTGCGAGTTTAATCTATCAAGTGGTCATAATGCGCCCCACTCGTTTTTTTTTTTTTTTTAGCTGCAGCGAGAGCGGCGCAAAAACATGAAACAGTTGTTCAATCACTGAGTATGCCCTGTTTTAAAATAAACTGCCTAGTTACTTGACATTGCAGTGCTGGTTCATGATGCCTGCCGCAGTTTTGCGGACTTAGTGCAGCAGACATTCTCCAAAATACTGCACGTGTCTAACTTGCAGGTGAACGTGGGTAATATTTGAAGCAAAACGAGGGACATGTGGGGTAGTTGCAGTGCAAAACAAAATCGAGATTAGGCAACATGTGCGTGGCTCGATCCCAACTGTATGACTGGGATCGTACTGATCAGCTTACTACAATGACGAATAGAAAAAAAGATAGATCGCAAGGAGATGGTGCAAAAGAAAACTGAATGACGGTTAAGGGTGACTTTAGTTTTCAATAAATTTCTGCAAGATAGACTTGTGCGAATATTCGAATGCTTCGAATATTCGAACGAATAGTTGAGTATTCGAATTTGCTTTGATTCGAATGTATATTATCGCAGATTTTCGAAGTATTCGTAATGAACGAATAGGCGTATATTAATCCACATGTAATCCACATATTAATCCACGTGTATTAATCCACATGCATTAACAGCCTGTAATGATAGTTTTTTTACAGTGTAAGAATGCTTAGCAGTGAAAAAACTTTTCAAAGAAAAAATTGCTTTGCCGCAAAGCCCCCCCCCCCCCCCTTCAAATTTAAAGGGGCCCAGCAACACTTACTGAACATGGTCAGAAAACGCTGCCGATCAAAAGTCGAAGCTACCGACAACACGCGAGGCAAACATTGCAGCGCAGCATGGGGCCCGTAATTCACAATAAATTTGCGAAATTAAAAGTTGCTTTCTTCCCTCGGCAAATGACACAAGCTCAAAAATAACTTGTCACAGCCGAGATGAAATATATGGCTTTTGTCACAGCCACCGGCTGATTTGAGCATAGTGCACTCGTCATTACCGGGGCCGCCGCGAGAGGCCGCCGCTTGTCCACGAGTACGTGTGCGATCGCATTAAAAATCCGCGTATTCGAAGAAAGAAAGAAAAAGAGAGGCGCTAAAGGTCACGAGGTACATGTGTCGTATTTTCTATCGCCATGCCATTCCTCCCTGCTTAACTTCCAGCCATTTCGTCAGTACAAGAAGAGAGAATAAAATTGCAGCGTGGAACAAACTTTTGAAATTCCACTCCTACTGAACTGATTATAGAAACTTTGCGGCGGTAAATTTGTGAGGCAACATTCATAATTACTATCTCCATGGCTACTTGAAAAAGTGTTGCAGGGCCCCTTTCGTAGAACATGTTACCCTCAAATCAATTCTTCACTTTGTTAAGTTTGCTTATATGATCCAAGTATTATAAATATTAAGACATTAAGTATCTTAGAGGTTATCGCTCGCCTCCTACCAAAACTATAGGGCTGTTACGACTTCCTTTGAACAAAAAAAAATTGGATTTGCATAGAGCCCCTATTTCAATTCAAAAGAAATCTTGTGCAGGTTAGTTAGGTCATAATAAATATTCCTTTTTTATATGTCATACATACCATTTGAATTCAATTCGAAATTGTTCGATCAAAATCCCTATTCGCTTCGAACCTAAAATTCACTATTCCCACAAGCCTACTGCAAGAGTATGTTGTTACCTCCAAGGCCTCAGGGCACTGCAGGAGTGAGTAGAAAATTCAATGCACCCAAATAAAGTAAGCATTAGTAATTTCTAACTTTACAGTGTTGCCTATATGGCCGCGTGCTTCATAGAGGAACAGGTGTTTTATAATAAGTAAGCATGTACTAATGGAGAGAAAAAGTAAAAATACTGTGAATGATGTCATCGGCTAGCTTCCTCTTGTCTCAGCCTTTTTTATTTTCCATTGCAACTAACTCACTTTGTCATTTCTACGCTTCCACATTAAGTCTTCGCTGTGAGTCACTCTTGCTGTCTTCATGTGGATGGCTTCAGACATGCAACATGCATATTCACAATAGGCTCCCAGCAGTTTTTCTGAACTATGGGACCTGCTAGTGTGATTTTTTTTTTTTTTGCAATATAGCTCTTCCATAACTGTTTTAATAAACTTGACATACATTGACTTGAACTCGCTGTGCTCAAATGTAAACAGTGTTTTCAGAAACAGAATGAAGAATGTTCACCTGCATTAGCGAACTGAACTAGGCCGGTAGGTATGTACATTACAAAATGTTGGATTTAGACAAGTCATACCGATCTGTTTAAAACTCGCAAGTACAAGCAAGTACTGGAAACTGCTAAAAGCATGAACAGCAGCGTACGACCATTAGATGAGGCCGTTCGAATGGGGATTCAAACTACAACTATGTAGGGTTAAAACTTAGGCATGAGCTAAACCCACGTGGCGAAAAACAAGCGCGCGGGGTCGGCCGACTGCGACCATATCGAAAAAAAAACTTCGCCAAAGATGAGGTTACCGCCAAGAGCGTAGCCAGAAAATTTTTTTCGGGTGGGGGAGGGGGCATTACCTTGATTTTGGAAGGGGCACGCCTTTAAAATGGCAATTTTTTGATCTCTATGTTATGGGGAAATAAAACTTCGGGGAGGAGGGGGGATGTGCCCGGTGTGCCATCCCCTGGCTACGCCCCTGGTTACCGCGCGCGATGTGAGCAGGAAGCGATAATTCAAACAATAAATCGCCTTACTGTGTCAGGCACGTCTAATTCTTGACTCGGCAAGCTCCGCTGAGAGGGCCACATACTGCTCTAATAGTTGTGACCGTCGTACACGAGAACGGCTCCTCTCGCATTAAGAGCCGTAGACGCGTCCGTTCTCGTCTAGGTATTATAGGCTGCCTTCGCTGAGGCAGCACAGTGCCGAAAGAAAACGACGAAGCTGCGGCGCCAACCATTTTTGGAGAAGTGGTCGCGAGCTTCGAAAACAACTGCTTTCGACCTCAAGCGATCTAAACTGAGCTCGCTACCATGAAGACCAACGCTCACTGTAGGCTTCTAAGACATTGCATCGTTTTTGAAGTGCAACAGCTGCATAAAAATGCACATTGAGAACTCCAGCCGACTATCAACAACGCGGTCATACCGAGTTGTGATGCAGACGACATGAGACGCAGGCATGCCCCCCTGCAAAAGCTTATGACTTCCGCCACACTTTGCGCTTTGCAGCTCACAGTTCGAGGGTCTCTCCTTAGCTTTCCATCCTCCATGAGGTATGGTGTACTACATAGAGGAAGGAATAACCTGAGGAGAGGCCGTTACGTCACATTTTGTGAAGCTGAAAGTAGGGAAGAGTATAGGACGCCTCCTATCATGAAGAATTATTTATTTTATTTTATTTTATTTGCATACACAGATACACAAGGACACAGAGGAAAGAGGGAGAGAGCAAGCTGGCAACTTCCACCTGGAGGGGCACTAGGCCTGCGCGCACTCTTTCGGGAGGAGTGAAGAAACAGGAGAGAATAACAAAATCTCACATGGACCAATGAGCGCTCAGCTTCTGATAGCCTCGTAAAGGCGGCTGGCGCAGTGCATTGTGGGGTGGGAGGGGATCTATTCGTCGCCTTTGTAAACTCGCTGGCCGGTCACGCACACACTGAAATTCATCAGATGCCAGCAGAAGAGCCATCATGAAGACTGTACACCTGTGCTTCTAAATACGTGCGTTTACAGTTCCACGGAATGGGAGGGAATACATTAGTAAAACTTCATGTGTCATGTCAAGAGGGAAGCGACGTTATTCGGGTGTTTTGACAATATGCGACAACTCTAAATGCAGCCTCAAGGTATACCAGACTGTAAATGTGATAAGATCCGAACGTGTGATGTGAGGAGCTGCTGCCGCAGAATTCTGTAATGGAGCCAGGTTTGAAGGGCGGGGGGGGGGGGGGAGAGAATGGCAAAAACCTCGTTAATTCAATCACTGGGACCGTGAAAAATGTTTGAATTAAGCGGGTTTTCGAATTAACAAAACATATAAAAAGTGGAATGCAACAAACATTGCATTATTGAAAGTCATCGGAGGTGGTGGTTCGCTGCGCCGGCTAGATTGCAGCTCAGAGGGTTGATTGTTTCCCCGCAATACCTGGTCCGCTTCCCTCGCCGTAGGTGTTGGATCGGTGCAAAGTAGCCACGCCCTTCTAGCAGTGCGCGATGACATCTTTCTCCCTCGCCTGCCACGCGCTTGCCGCGTGTCAGCTTTTTCCCGCTTCACCCTCTCCACCGCTCGAGCCAACTCCTCACGTGGGTCATCTTCTCTTTACTTCTGTATGTGGGTGTCGCCATCTCTATCCCTATTCCTTTTCTATCCCAATTCCTTTTAATCCCTGCTTACCCCCATCCCTCGTGAGCCCCTGTTGAGGTGTCGCACCACGATGCAGACAGTTACGGGGCTCACTTTTGTCTTTTTTTATCTCTTCACACATACACACATCATCTCACCCGCGCCACCTCTCTCCATCTGTCGGCGAGAAGAAGCCGCGAGCCGGCGGGTGCGAGCTGACTATAGACGTCAGACTCTGGAGCACGGATACAGTGTACTAGAAGGGAACAGTGGAATGAACGAGGCGGCCGCGCCGCATCTTGGCTTATTCTCCGGCGGGTGACCCTAGCGGCGGCGCTGTAGTCCCATTGTACAGAAGATCTCAGGAGCGTCTGCATTTTCAGTGTGCGCGCCGTAGCCTGCGAAATCGTTTAATGGCTCGTTTTTAGCGAGTTTAATGCCTTTCTGAGCCTTTATCAGCGTGTGACACCTGCTAAGTGCCACGTTGCACGAGTGAATATGCAGGCACACTGAAATTGTGTCGAGACATTCCCTGTTTCAAGAGCCTAACACGGTATTTATTTTTTAATCTCACAGCTTCCTGAGCACAACTAACTTCCAATAAATCGGCTCAGTTATCCTGATTATTGTAGATGCTTAACTGACGAAGAAAGACAAAAGAAATTAGTATAAGACACGTCCTTTCTGAATTATTTTTTATCTATCACAAGGGCTTTTGTGGAGCTCAAATTCAGTAGCTTGGCTTGTCATGCTTCAAAGGCTATGACATCATGTGCTAGACGTGAATGATTGGCACACACGAAGAAATCTGCATAAAAAAAGCGTGCCGGAGGAGCCGAAGCGCATAGCAGTTCCTGCACGTGGCTCTTTCTGTACTATTCGACTGCAGCGCCGTCGCTGCGTGCAACGCAGAAGGGATCAGGCGGTGAGGCGCGGTCACGCCACTCAACACTTCTAGTACACTCTAGCACAGCGGAAGGAAGATAGGAGAGGGTATGCCCAGGCTACAGTAGTACACTGTACCCAGGTGGTGCGCTGCGCGAAAAGTGTGGAGTAAATGACATCATGGCGGCCACATTTATTGGGCATAATGGCGGCGTTGTTATGGTTACGTGTTGCGCAGTGTAGCAGGTCTAGCAGTGAGCGGCCGCGGCTGGCGGTCGCATGTGTGCCTCCGCAGGTCTCGTGGCGGACAATATCTGTGCTCTGCGCCGCGATTGGTTACGCAGTATTCTCCTGGCAGTTACTGTACTCTTAGCAACGCTTACAAAACCTTTCGTCCACCACAAGGCCTAAACAGTGCGTAGAACGAGCGCATATCCATGTTTCGTGCGCCGGATGACGCGGATGAAGCATTTGAAGGGTTCAGCGAATTTGCGTTGGACACCATGACGAAGCGGAACGACGACGAACGCCTTACTGGTCAGTGACGGTTGGGCAGTGCTCCTGTTTGTGGCAACGGACGAAACTGTTGTGCCCAGCAAGACGCAATGAGAACCATATGTGCACACACGTAGTTTCGTGTTCGGCACGTGTACAGCAACAACTTGCATGTGCGTAATAAAACACCTTTTCTGTTCCGCTTGTTAAACTCGCCCCCAGCATTGTAATCTCAACGTTAGAGCAACCACGTTCAAGTGCCACTTGCACCGTGCTCAAAGTCACCACGGTCATAGAATACTGACGCCGGTGAGTATCACGCGGAACACGGGCACAGTGGCCGGGCGCTGCGTCAGCCTCGTGTCGGAATGCAACCTTTAGAAGGCGCACGACCGATCGTGATGTCTGTACAGTGCGTGACTTGATGACTTGAGAACACTCGCTGTTGCCAGTGCATCTAGCGCGTGTTCTCTTGTACTTGCTTTGTTGTGGTCGAGCTGTTACTCGCTGTTAATACTCGGACGAAATGATTTCGCCGAAGGTGTCACGCTGGTCCAGAGTGTTGAGCGCCGTTCCATCAGTTGCGGATCTTCACGACACGGGCGCTGCGCAGCCCACGTGCTTGCCGAGCAGGAGAGAGAGTCGCGCCTTCTGCTTTACATTCGGATGTAAACAAGAGAGGGAAATTTGCCCAGTCAATATGGCCGACTTCCGGCTTCACAACGAGTGACGTCAGGCCCTCTCCTATGCACGGAGGCTTCCTCCGTGCTCCCAAGTTTTTTTCCTTCCTCCCAAGGAGGTTATACTAAAACTTCTGGAGTGGCGGTCCCGCATAGCCGCCAATGTATCGAAGTGAAGCCGCGGCGGCCATGTTGCTCAGGGCAGAAGGCGGTGGCGGCTGCCTTGTAGCGCCGTAATGCTGTGGTCGCTGGCAGCCGTGCGTTTCGTTAGAGCTACTAAAGCACCGGTTTATTATTCTTAGGCAGCGAGGGAACGTGGGAGTGACTCTAATGCATATATGCTTTAATTTTTCTTTGACACTTAGCGTTTTAGGCGTGTTTAAAAAAGAAAAAAAAAAAGCCAGGCATGCACGGAACGCGCAGCACAGTCGCACCTACAGCTAGAAAAGCAGTCTTTCAGAACATTTTCTAAACACTCTTTGGGATGCTACAAGTACACTGCTGTGTACCCACAGCGCCTTAAATATTAATACACTTTGTGTAGTAGGCCAGCATTCACTATGCTATCTTTCGTCGTTCTTTGGAGAAGCGTACGCGGTATCCGCTACACACTTGTTGGAAAGTTTGTGCAGTTTTTTTATGCAGTGGCTGGTGACGACGAAGAAATATGCATGAGGTGGGTATGCGGCACAGTTAAAGGGTGGTAAAGAACAAGTTTTCCAATGAGTTGGAGCATTAGACGACCCAGTCGTTGAGCAATTCGTATTGTGTGACACCTGGCTGTCTCTTCAATGTTATAAAACGCTTTCTTATTCCTTTCCCGACATCAAGTCTGCCTATGGCCAGTTTAGAAACAAGTTACAAGCACTGGCGTGGCTCAGTGATAGAATACTGGACAGGCACGCAGAGGACCTGGGTTGGAATTCCATTGTGTTATTGATGTTCTTTATTTACCGAGTTTTTTTTTTGTTCTATACTGGTTAGGGGCGGCGGCGGACAACTACGGCGTCGCAAGTGACCTTTGTTCTGACCTCATGACTGTCGATGTGAAAAAAAATTTGTACTGGAGGATATTGATTAGCAATATATGTTTACACAGTTGCCTCACAGCAGAAGTGACCAGTTAGGAGATGCAAGGAAAGTATAAGTTTCACTCACACGCAACCATTATCCCTTGGCGAACAATAGTGCAGCGTGTGTGCAAACTGTTTATTAGGGGGGGGGGGGAGGGAGTGTCTTTCACCTTTTCACGTACTCGTTTATGAAGCTCCTGGATATACAGGGAAAACAATGCTTGGAAAACTTGCTTGCAATCGTCCCTCTGATGATACGTTCTGCTCCATAATCTGGTCGAAGAAATTCCGAGAATCATCAATGCATTTTAAAAGGCCGTACCCTTCTTTTTCAGCTGTTAATTGTACCTTGTTCGTGATTTTTTTTCAATTTTTGTTTTATTTTTGTTTTTTGCTTGTACCAATCCCTTGTGTGTGAAGTTCAAGGGTGGCGGGATTTTGACAGCTCCATCAATGAGAGGAGCTTTAGGCGAAAGTGTACTTCCCTGCATTTTCAATGGAGCTCGTTTCCTTTTTTCTCCTGCATAAAGAGAAGCATATCGCAACATATCAGAAACTTTGAGACTGGGAGCGTAGTACTTATGCAAATATAAGAAGCTCGAAATCCCAGAAATGCAGAGCCAGTGCTACATTAGCTACCTTTCGAAAGCGAAGTGCACACTTTCGTTAGGCACACTCGCGTACTGGCTTTCGTAAGTGCGCATGGAAACGATGCAAACACGCTAGTAATTTTATAAGCCCGTCGTCTCGCTATGTACCTTGTCTCATCGAAGCAGCATGCTTCAACATGTGTACTAAACATCATTCGTCATTATTTGTTTTTTCGGCGCTTAACCTTTTTCCCCTCATAGAACACTCTCATGTGCCGCGCATTACGACGTCTTCGGAACCCTGAAACGTACAAAAAATTTATTCCAAGTATCTCTGTGCACCCGGACGTCAAAAGGAAGTATATGTAATCTCAAATGCAGTCGTATTCATGAACCTATGCGAGGAAAAGCGAACGGGCGAAGCGTGCCTACGTGCACATCAAAGGTTGTACCCGGTGTCCGCTTCACATGATTCGCGCTGCCAAATGCTACCCAGGAGCCCACCATCGTCGTTTTTAATGTCATCACTGACGTGTTCAAAACCTTCTTGTTCAATTAGAGGCATCACGCGCAACATTACTGGCACTAGAACAACGCGAAAGCCACGTACGCTACAATGCGCCCATCCGCTTTCTGCCCTGGCCAATATGGCGGCGGTAAGCTTCAGCCACGGAGCCCCTCCGCCACTCCAGAAGTTTTAGTATAACCTCCTTGCTTCCT